CGGTCAAATAAATACTAACTTTTTAAAAAATAGTATTTTTTATTATTACGCCGACGTTTCGACCCACTTTGCAGGTCTTCATCAGGGCGTGATTCACACCGGCGTAATAATTAAAAATAATATTTTTTAAAAATTTAGTATTTATTTGACCGCACCCCCCGACCAACTCTTCGTAGAAATTTATAATTTATCGAAAGTTTCCTAACTATGGTTATATTTATTATCAGTTTGAAAAAACTAAATTTTTTTTCACTAATGTAAAACAAATAGATTTTTATGCATAAAAAACTGTTAGTTAAGGTAAAATTAAGTTTTGTAGGTGACTGGAAATCAAATGTATCCGTTATTATTTAAGAGAAAGAAAAAAAATCCACTCCCAAATCCAAATTCTGCTGTGTTACTGACAACAACCACTCCTTACATAAGAACAAATATAATCATAGTATGTATTTATGATATATTGTATATTTATTGAAATATTGTATTTAGTTGCATATGAGAGTGGTAGTGCTCTATAGCTTCTCTAGCTTTGATAATAAATAAGCTTGATTTTCTAAATTTTGTCTTGAGGGGGGCTAAACAAGACGGGGCACGCAAGTGGATTTAAAAAGTCCCTCTTTATAAATAATTTCAAATTAAAAAAAAGAATTCATTACAGGTAACATATTTTTATCTTAAAATATGAAAAGTTTACTCAAAACATATAAGGAAAAAAACATTAAATCAATAATAATTTCAATATATTTCCATCATCTATGGGAGTTTTCCTCGTTGATTGATTCCATTCAATATTAGAAACAGTCAGTTTTGCTCCATGATATTTAGCTTTCGCTGAGAGGTACCAAAGTTAAATTAAAACTAACAATGGTGTAATTAATAATAAATTAATACATGTTTCAAGGTTTTTTTTTCGTTTAATATGAAGTATTATTAGAATAGAAAATTACTATGACAGCTATAGGGTAATGATATGAACACTTTGACCTTTAACCAGACGATATTGATCTTACTGTCCTCTGAGGGCAAGTACAAAGGGACACACAACAGAGATGTTCGTTAACTAGGCAAACAGCATGGGTGGGTAGTCAAGTGCCTGTCAGTGTAGAGAGTTTATCAAATACAGGTGCTGTTGACATTTACCTGAATCCATCCGAACACCAACATCAACTCCACATAAGCATAAATCAACATTTTTTTTTCTTAAACTTCATTCAATATGCTGCCGATGCTAATTTTATGAAATCGAATACCCCCAATACCAGGGGCAGATCCAGAAATTGTTAACTATGTATGTATGTAGGACAAGCAAAAGCAATCTAAAAAACTCTTTAAAGTTTCTGAATTTTAATTTTATTCTAAGTTTCTTTTAAATATAAACGATATGGAAATTTATTTAACATAAGATGTATTATTGATAAACAGATGCGTGCCAAGAGCGTTTGGAGTAGAACTATCAGGATGGTCATATAATTAGGAAATAATTTTATCTAATTCGATGCAGAAGTTATAATAAATAGGTTATTTAATTATTTTATTTCTGAAAATATTTAAGAACTATTGTTGTAGGTATAAGGATGGTATTGCGATTTCTCACAATATGAGAATTAGAATGAATTATATTGAACCGTCAGATTTCAGAAGTATAACGCTCGAGTCGACTAGTCGGCTAAAGTCGGCTAGAGTCGACTGATTGAACTGCATATGGATTAAAATATCTCAAAAAACTAAAAATCAGACCTTCATATTGTTAGCAAGGGAAATGTTCATCGTTTCATTCTCTTTGTAATGAGCTTTTATTCAAAATGGCATCTTAACGCGAAGCAGTGTTAGAGAGAGGAAAAGGGAAAAAATATTGTCGAAAACCTTATTATAACAAGTTTGATTGAAGATATGGATTAAAATATCTCAGAAACTAAAAATCGGACCTAAATACCGTAAGCGAGGGAAATATTCAGCATTTCATCCTCTTTATAAGGAGCTATTATTTATAATTTAAATTTCATATTATTAATCTCCCTTTTTTTTGATGTTTTCACTTCTATCGTGTGGTCTGAAACACACAATTCAGTTTTTTGTAATAATTTTTCTTACTCTCACCGTTTTGAATTTTTTATTTTAACAGACCAAGAAATTGAATTTTAGTAATTAAACAAATATAAAATATAAATGATGGATTCATATGGTTAATAAATGATACATAGATAACCAAACATTGATTCTTTTCGAGCCCTCGCCAGTTTAAAAGTATCAATAAACAGTTGAATAATAAACACATGTAAAAACACAGAAATGTTGCTAGAAACAATTAAATGATGTAAATAAGCAAAAGATGATTGAAATTATTTATTTGATAGTTAAAGAATTAGGCACTAAAATTTGACATTGTATTTTTTTTCTATACGTTTCTAGCTCATATAAACACCCATTCATACCAAAGGAATTGTGTTAATCATATCGTCGGCACCGTGTTAAAGTAACGAATAATAGCCTGTTTTAACCTTGCACATTCGTTAATTAAAGATGGTGTCGATGATACGTATTCATTGAGCAACAAGGTTATTTAATATGTATTTTCTTACCGGAATTGCAACGAATATATTAATATACATCTCAGGCGAATATGTTAAGAACAACATTACGTGAAAATGGAGGATTGCATGTTTGAATGAATCATACAGTTCTAGGATATGCAGATATTATTGCTGTTATCGGATGCAATCAAGAGGACATAGATAGACCCGCTAAGACTATGATAAGAAGCTAAGCAAATTGGATATAAATTAAGAAACAAAATCGATGATAGCAAGCCGAAAAATCTACTTAACAGGATCTGCGCTTTTGTGGAATATCCTTCCATTCATTTATGTCTAGTGTTTGTTCTATGTTTAACCTATCGTTCTGACCGTATCTTACGAATTAAGCGATACGCTAGCATTCAAAACTGTCTCCGACAATAGATAGTTTGAAAAAATAAATAAATTAATAGTTTACTCGACATTAATGCCATAACGGTTTTTAGTTTGTTTTACCCGATAAACGGTGTGTAAAAAATATTTTTAAAACATTTATTATTATGAATTCTCTAACCACAGTTGTATTATTTGTTATTACTAAACAAACAGTTAGATCTGTATATCCAATAACATTTTTCTGAGGAATGAAAAATTGAAAAAAAACTCGTAATTAATAAAAAGTTGATCAAAAAACTCTTTCTTTTACTCTCATATTTTAACATAATAGTTATAAACCTCATATGTGCTTCTGAAACCGAGTAAATTTAATTATTCATTCTCTAATGAGTTATTTTTTAATTAAAATATGCATGAGTTGTGATTTCTTTTAAAAAAAATAAAAATGTATGAATATTTTTATGCATAATGCAAAGGAAAACTAAAAGTAAGAAAGTTTCGCTAGATAATAGATAATTGTATCAATTCAACCTTATCATATATCCCTAAGAATTATTATATTTAGCAATAAAGGAATCAATCACTTCAATAATAGATATATAAGTTTTATTATATATATATATATATATATATATATATATATATATATATATATATATATATATATATATATATATATATAAAACACACATACTGGTCAAAACTATTTCTCAAAAACTTTATTTATTTTTTGTTTTTTGTTTTATATTTATCTTATAGCCCGAGATTTATTAAATTTGTGAGTTTATTTTTTGCTGAACTGATTCACGCTTTATAAAAACAAATTGTCATAGTTGGCTTGTCGCCTAGGAGTAGGAAGGTGGAGAATTTTGACAGCTAGGTTTTTTTTTTTTGTTTAATTTATTTTAGAAATTTCATAATAACTATACTTATTAAAAACGCACCCAGCAATAGTCATAGTTAGTATCTTTAAAATTGAACATATTCGATTTCATGATGCTTATGTGTATGTATAATGTTTATATTTAACGTAATTATGATTAGATTTTAATTAAATAAATGCGAAAATAAAAATGTTCTACATTAACTCTAACACTAACCTAGAATTTTTTTTATTAGTTAAAATGAAATTAACGATGGTTTTTTTAGATAAATGTTTCAAATTTATTTTTATTTATTGTACATACGGAGAGAATCATGAATCACTATCTACTGATGGCTATAGTTGTGACAGATAATATTATTCAATATGAAATTTAAAAAAAAAATATTGTAAATAAATAAGGAAAACAAGCAAAAGCAATGAAATGATCACGAAATTGTACTGATATTTTATAGTTGTAATCCAGTTAATATTTATATACTGAAAAAAGATTTAAATCTTATTTAATTTATAATCATAATAAATAGTTTTAATTTAAACTGGTATGATGTTACCATGCATATCAAAATAGGCAACATTTTCGTATGATTAATGATTTTAAACATTTTCTTGCAACAGATTTCCAAACTGAATCAACAAGTATCGATTACCAGGCGAAAAGCAATTTCGCTGTTTGTTTTTTTTAAACGAGCTTAAATATTAAAAAAAGAGCAGTGAACTTAAATTTATTTCCAAAGCCGGTATTTTTTTTCAACGATTGTATGGATTCCTGAAGTGTTCTTAAAAAGGATAATACTTAAAAAGCTTTTTTAACCATTTTACTCAGAAGAAAATTAATGTATTTTGTTGTACCGTTATTGTAAAAAAAAAGTTATTTTAACTTTTGTTTAAATGCCGGTCTTGAAGTTTAACTCTTTCGAAAAGCGGGTCTTTTTAAAAATATTAGTATTACAATCGGAACAGAAAATATAGTTTTTCATATGTCCTGAAAAATTGTCAATGTAGATTAGGGTTCACTTTGGAAATAAACGACACAAGTATTCAACATCTTGCCCGTTTATAGAAAATTGACTCTAAAAACACAAATTCAAGTTTAATAACACTTTGAACTGAGTGTTCTTATATGTTACACCTATGGGGGAATTTTTAAGATGAGACACACTGCAACCTCACCCACCCGATGTTCAAGGTAATAATGACGACCTTACCTGAGGAAGAAGCAGGCGACGAAGAGGACGGAAACGATGAACAGAGCAAGGAACATGTCCCAATGCCTACTGGATATCCACACTGACACGTACTATTTCTGTCGCACTCCCCACCAGCTTCCTGCTTCGTCACATAGTGCTAGATGGAAGAGGGTCGTCGCTCGCCGGATGATCGCGCACGTACGTGTCGGATACCTTACTGCCCGGAGCTGCCGAAGCAATAAGCGGGAGGAAACCGACAATCCAGCAAGGACGTGTTTATCGAGCCATCGGGCAGGATGGAGTCAGTCAAGATGGTTTGCAACTGATATATGTCCTGAGGCAGAACAAGGATACCAATAGTACATAACGTAGAACGTACAGAATTTATAAAGTGCAAGTAATACAAGAAGAAATTGTATTGTTAAGCTTTACAAATGTATATGTATAAATTTGTTATCATCAATCTATCATATAGTCATTAACGATGAATAATCGACTATATAGGTAATTAAGATATAACATCGATAATTAGCAAGACCCAAAATGTATTAAAGATAAACACTTCTTTATTTTACTGTATCATAGGTACCTACAAAATATCACTGAAAAAAAAGAAAAGAAAATTGTATCACTAACATCCATAAAGGTTATGGATTCAGTACTTTGTAAGAAACAGCTGTTTTAAGACCACCGCCATATCGAGCTCAACCGCCAGGTTTTCCTCCTTAATTAATCTTTAAATTAAGAATACCTAGTTTATACAGGTTGAGTATCCCACAGAAGGGTCTCCTTATCCCATTGTCGATAAACATTGAATTAAACTAATTGAAAATTGATACCGTTACAAACAGATTCATTTATAGATTTATTAATCAATATGATTTGTATTTCATCCTAGATTATAAAAAAGAACTTAGATATCATTATAAATATTTAAAAAGTGTAACTAGGACTTAGAATTGATTTATTTAGAGTAAATTATTTTCCATGTAATTTATCATGTATTTATAACAAAATAAAATATGAATTAACGGTTTCCAGATATATCGTAAATATTCATAAAATTTTCATCTGCATGAAAAAAGTAATAGTATATAATAATAGTATAGTATATAATAAAACAATTTTTTTAATTGATAACTTTTGTAAATATCAATAGTAGAACTTAAGAAACCATGAACTTCAATTAAATTAACAATGAGTTTAGAAATAATAATTTTTAAGAAAAAATGCAGTTATGAATTAATATAGACAAGAGATATTTAATGAATAGTGAAAGAAAGTACAGTAAAGAAAGCAAAAAAAAAAAAAAAAAAAATACTTCAGAAAGTTATCAGCATTATAATAATTGCATATTATACCTAATTGTAAGTTTTATCTTATATGAAAGTCTACTAGTCATAATTTATCTGCTATCAGCCGAACTTGAACCTAGAACATTGAGGATTGGAAGTCAGTACTCAATCACTGAACTAACCTAATCCCATAAATTCTTCCTATTATAATATTATTTTTAAGTCTCCATATTTTTATTTTTATTATTATTTATCCTATTTGAAGTTTTTTTTTTCTCATTTTCAAAAGCTTATTATTTAATTATTTTCTTTCCATATTACTGTAGAACGTTGGGCACATCATTCTTCTCATTATTTGTTTAAACTATAAATATTATTTCTCTGGCATCTGTGAATGGAACCTGTGAAGTATATAAAAGCTAATTTTTATTTTCCACAGGTGCCACAGATTTGGAAAATATTGTCTTATACAATCTACTACATCATACATTTTAGACAAATACATCTAATGTATCATTTATTCTTTACTTTGTTGAAAATCCAATTATTTTATATTCTGAGTAAGATTGCTTTTCAAAAATTGCTATATTATATTATTGTTACAGTTTAATATTAAAATAAAATTAAAAAAATGTTTTTTCTATAAATAAACAAAACAAACGAAATGAAAATGACAAGAGTATGACTCTTCACTCCTATTCTTTATGTCCCTGGTTCCATCTCGACCAAAATCGGAAATAGTCTATTCTGTTATAAAAGCCGAGGATCGGTCCTGAGAACGGCAGACTATCCTGAGGCACATCCAGCCTCTATAAAGTGGGACTACTACATTACATTACTATATCATTATCAATGCTGTAATCAGAATAGAAAAAAGTTAAGAAAACGATAATATGAAACTACTATAGATTCAAGGCGTAAGCGGTTACTTATAACATATATCCGTAATTTATAAGGGTTTTTTTTTTTGGTGGGGAATTCAGGATTCACTATTTATTCAATGAAATCGTAAAAATAATGAATGACTCAAGATAAAACGTGCATAAAGTCAGAAATATACCATTAGGGATTAAGATTAGGTGAAAACATGACCACCATTTACGAATTGCATGCTGGTATATGGTAGGGTAATCAAGTCACCTATCCAAATGAGATGTAAATCTTTACCACGGACTAGTTTTTTTCCTAGGATTTGCATGGAAGGGAAAATGCATAGCGTGCAAACCTTCAAATTGCTAGGATTACGGGTTCAACCAACCTTAAGACAGGTTCGATGAAAGGTGGAATATAAATGGACTCCATAAACAATTATTAGGATATGTATATAAATATATATTTATGCTGTTGAGTAGTGTATAAAAGGACAGGACAATGGTGTGGGAGGTTAAATTACAGATGAATGTATTTGTTTTTACATCTTTATATGTTATGTATTCGACTGTTGTTATTTAATCATACATTTACATATTATTCATGACAGTTATAAATGGTTATACGACATTTTTCTATTTTAGAATATTCGCTTTTTTAATTCTAGACATGATATGTTTACACAGATATTTCATGTATTTTTAAAAAATTTATATTACAGTTTTTATTTCTAATTATTAATACAATTTATAATAATTAAACATAAATATGCAATACGGAATTAAATATCAGTTTTGCATATTTTTTTTATAAACTATAAATCGAGAATTTTCATTTAGAAACAAAAACTCGAGGCACTAGCCACATCAGTAGTAAATTCAGGATTTAATTCTGGAATCTAACACTTGTTTTTCTAACTTTTTCTATTAACTATTTTTTATAAATTATTGTTAGACTCGAAAACTCAGCTTCATAATAATTAAGATTGTATCCATGAATGGAAATGTAAAATGAATAATTTAAAAAATAATACAAAGAACAACAAATATAATTTTAAAATTAGCCTTTAATATCAAGATATTACTTAAAAAATTCGAAGATAACTATAAAAAAAGACGTTGTCCCATAAATACTACTATATAAATGATGTTTAAATTTGTTTATTGATAGATATTAACGAATATTATTCAAAAGTTCACAATAATTTATCGAAAGATTTCTTGAATACTTTTTTTTTTTTTTTAATGTTTAATGACGACATTATTGAAAAACATAGATATAAATAGCTTTACATAGATCAGCTATTTTAAGGTGTGTTAAAATTGAAGAATAACGCAACTGATGACGAAATCATTAACCTCATTAAATGAAATATTTGCTAGCACGACGTTATTTGTATTTATCAATGGTGCCTAATTTTAATTGTAAATTATCCCCAGACTCTTTTTCGTTGAAAATATTTCACGCATTCTTTTTACAAAGATGTTCCTTTATAACCGAAAAAAATACAATACACAGCTGTATATTTTTGATCGAATAAAAATAAAAATGTCTAAAAGAATGGTTGATAATGAAGAATTTGACTAAACTCTGGCCTATAGTGTAAGAGAACAATACGGATAAATAAAGAAAGAAAGAAAAAATAAATTTTATTCTGGGACATTTGGTCCCCTTAGAATAATTATAATATACAAAAAGATGAAAATCGTATGGCATTATAAAACATAAAAAATAATAAATTTTTTGTCTAACACATGATAATTTAAACTTGTAATTCAAATAAATTAAGAACGAGTAAACATATTGATTTGTACATATTAATAAACATTCTGATTAACAATATTGATGATATGTAAGTAACATTAACATAACAGTCAAATGAGAGTAATAGCTCTTAAATACGAAATTTTATCCTTACATGTATTTGGAAGATTGATTGCTAAGGAAGTGAAAGGAACCTCATTGTTTAAATGAGGTTAAGGAAGATGATTTGCGTTGTGAGATAGGTAGAGAATTCCAAAAAAAGATAGCACGGATGATATAGAATTTTTTAAACGATATGGTTCTATGAGATGGAACAGACAGGTTTATGGACTGCAATCTCCTGTTAAACGAATGAACACAGAAACAAGGAGTAAACAAATTAAGAACACAAGATGGCTTTTTGGTTGTAAAGGTTCGAAAAAGGAATACACCTGGGAAATATTGGTAATAGGATATAAAGGGTAATATTCTCCCAAGATATATATATATACATATATACAAGATATATTATTCTCCTATATATAATATTCTCCAAGAGTATTGGAATACCAAAATAAAAATTATTTTTTTTGTATTACAAGTCTCAGAAATTTGTCAAGATTCATTTATACTAATGATTCTAAAAAAAATAAAAACAGAAAAACGCGACATATTTTTCTTCTCCGTATCTTCTTAAGTACTTAAACCTTAAATGGGCATAATCATAATCAATGATTACGATTACAGTAATCCTGATTACTTATTTATGATCACGGTTTTAATGAAATTATTACAATCTCAACTGGGTTTAGCTCCAGTGACACGGCTGAGAGAGAAGTGCAGGGATCTTCTGGAGTCATGATTTTCTCTCCACAGTTTGAGGGACAAGTCTGTCTCGGAATTCTCTCGCCTGATAGTAAATAATGTATATCGGTATGTTTTAGGTTATTTTATTCTTATTTATTGTATATGTATTTTTCTTCTGTATAATTTATTTTATTTGTATAATTATTGTACATAGAGTGTGAATGTGATCTCTGAACACTATTATAAATGTCCTTTGAGACAGAATGTAATATTTTTTCAATAAACAAGTTAAAAAAAAAATGGGCAATCGCGTCACATTTTGGCTACATTTATAGTGCTATCAAATCAAATCGGCGTCATGTAATCATTAATTTCGATTTTGATCGCCTCTGATCTAAACAGATATTTATAAAGGACAACAGATATAAACTTAAATATTTTAACTGGCAAAATATTTTTTTATTCACAGTATTTACAACTGTATTAGTATAAATACATCAAGTCAATGGATACAGAGGAATATAATCACATTCCACATTTGCGTTAATGAAAACGCTTGTTGAGAAACTACCCATAGGTAGTCTCAAGGCAAAATATAACTTAAGGAAATAAAAAATAAACCCCACTGATAGAATACACATACTC